CAGAGCCCGGGCATGCCCAGAAATATCATCACCCATTTTTAGATCAGCACCAGCGCTGCCCTGTGGTACCTGGATTTTCCTGGAAAACGTGCACTCCCCCTCCCAGAGCCGGCTGCGTTCTTTCTGGCAGGCATCTCCCATTCAATGGTATGGAGCAGCAGGGCTTACCCCCTGCGAGGGGCACTGGTTATACGTGCATGGATGGTGCTGGCAGCAGAAAAGGAGCCAGGTTTGCTGTGCTGGATGGAGACCTGTAAGGGAGAGGACACTCACCCCCTGGAGTCAAGGCTGGAAGTGCGCAGGAAGGGCGAGTTCAGGGGAACCTCCATTAGCCACCTTTCTGGCCAGTTTTTTCAGAGTTCAAATGCAGGACATCACCACAAAGATACCAGCTCAGGGGATGAATTAATTGATTTTTTCACCGAAGAGTTAGAGTGTGCCTGTGTCATAGCAGCCACGATCTCATCTGTGTCTAAGTGCACTTACTTTTCCACTATGCACGTCCCGCTCTCCTCATCCTGTTTCATAGATTTTATAGGTTTCATAGATGTCAGGGTTGGAAGAGACCCCAACAATCACCAAGTTCAGTCCCCTGCCCCAGGGGCAGGAAGTCAGCTGGGGTCAAAGGATCCCAGCAAGATTAGCATCCAAACACTTCTTGAATGAGTCCAGAGTAGGTGCCTGCACCACCTCTGGAGGGAGTCTATTCTAGGCCCCGGGGCTCAGACAGTAAAGAAATGTTTCCTCGTGTGAAGCCTAAAATGGTCTTGGAGGGGTTTATGACTGTTGGTCTTTGTTTTTCCTCAGGGTGCTCTGGTGAACACACCTGCTCCCAGGTCCTGATGTACACCCCTTGTATACTTATAAGCAGCCACCAGGTCCACCCTGAGCCTGCACTTTTCCAGGCTGAAAAGTCCCATGCCTCTCAGCCTTTCTCCGTAAGGCCTATTCTCTTGCCCTTTGATCATGTGCATGGCTCTCCTCTGGACTCTCTCAAGCTTCTCGACATCCTTCTTGAATTGCGGAGCCCAGAACTGGATGCAGTGCTCCAGCTGCGACCTCACTAAGGCGAAGTACAGCGGGAGGATGACACCCTGAGATTTACTTGAGAAGCATCTGTGGAT